TTCCCCTCCCTTGGCTTTGTTCAGCTGCCCTAAGTCCCTTCGGGGAATAGGGCGGCCTACAAATTGAATAAACTCCAAACTCCAAACCAAAACCAATCTACATTATACGTATAAATCCAGACTGGTTTATTCACAGGCAACTTGCAGTAAAACCTTAATTTCACAGACCCTCATTCAGGGGAAATTGGATGGAACAGACTAAACTTGGGCTTAGCTTGGGCTTCATTCCCAAATAATAGTCAAACATTTTCCGAAGTAGTACATACCCTTGACATAATCGATACCATTAGTATTCATCCTCATCTTTTAATGATCCATAACCCTTTGTGGGCGGAGTTTGGGCAACTGAATGGAGTGATTACTGACTGGATGCCCTTCCTGTTGCCAATGTTGAGTTACATTCAGCAGATATATTCCCAGCATGCTCAAGAGAGAAATATCTGCCTCTACCTAGGATCGAACTCACAGTCTCCTGATTGTGAGGCGAGACCTCCACCGCTAGGCCACCACACCACTCAATCAATACCACTAGTATTAATGGTATTAACTTATATAATCACAGGTGGTTGGTTTTCATGACACACTTCCTCTCCAGATGGCCTTGTTATAACTCATAGTTTTACGATACAATCGGAAAATAGTGTTAATTGTAAAGAGGAATCTAATGCATGCCCTGAAACCTAGCTTGTACTATTAAGAAATGATGGAATATTTCTTTGCATAATCTTGACGTCAAAAGTAGGTTTGGTTAATGGTTAACATGTTTTTCCACCCAAAACGGGAGGGGCAGTGCTTTTGATCTTCCAGATCGGTAGAGAATACATTTCCAATCTCTTTGTAAACTTAAGTTCTTCAAAGGAAAAGATCCATGCAGTTCTTGTGAAGTTGAGTCTTGTTTGTGGAATGTTCCTTTCTCTGCTTCTTCAGGCTGGACAAACCTTATCTTTTGCAGTAATACAAACAGCGTATGCCAATGGGAGCTCTACCGGTTATCTGGAACAAACCATGAAGGTATGAAGTTGACTTCTTACAGTCTTAAACAATTAACCATGGCTAAAACACCAACAATGGGGTACGGTGAGGATGGGGAGGTTACGAATTCCAACATATTTTTGTGTCATGCTTGCCTGGAGAGAACCTAGAAGAGCTTCCTCCAAAAAGCCACCTTCCAGATGTGCTGGAATTGCAGCTTTACTCTTAGAAGCCTGGGGTTGGCAGCGATGCTTTGCTACACATCTGGAAGACGGCAGGCGAGAGAAAGCTGGGGTGCTTTAATAACCAAAAAGAAATAAAACATTGCTATTGTTGTTGTTTTTCCTATGTATTCCAAGCACTGCATTTCATGAGTAACACTTTTGTAAAAAAAAAGAAAAAAAAATCAACCCTGTGTATAATGTATTTTAAACTGATCCTTACGTGTGCTGCTTGCTGATCATTTGGAGTTTTATGGCAAAGTATGAAAAGTTTTAGGAAAAAATCCCAAAAGTTGCTTCCATTTTTACTCACGCGGTCCTGACTACCCGAGAGTTCGGAACAAACGCATGGCTTGTTCCTTGATAAGAAGGCAGCACAATTAAGAATGCCATCTCGCAATTACTCACCAGAAAATCAATTCCATTTGGTTTTATCTGATTATTTAACTAATAATCAGCCCCCTCTCTTTTTGCTGGCTGTCTTTCTAAAGTTCTCAGGTTGCATTCATAAAACACACTTAACCTGGTTATGCCACTAACCATTAACTAGGCAAATGGTTTGGATTTGTACAGAGGTCTATCCACCTGCAAATCTAATCAAGGTTAGCATTAGGCATGCTTTCCCTATTGTACATTTCTGCTAGTTCTTTATCTGCCCCAATTCAATCTGGCAGTCTGGGTATGCTGCAGATCCCCTCAGCCAAAAACTGCCGGTGGGCCTTTCCTGCAGTAGCCCTTGCTCAGTGGAAAATCCTCCCCTCGGAGATTAGAATGGTCCTAATCCTGCAGAATCCAATCTGGGTTGGGCACGGGGCCAGAGGTTTAGCCTTCTGAACTTTCAGATTCATGCCGGAGTCCATTCGCAGGGAATTTCTCCTTTACCAGTGACAGTGCTCTAACACACTCCGCTAGAGATAGGTTCCCTGAGTATGGGCTCCGGCACGAGGTCCGAAAGCTAGGAAGACTAAACCTCTGGTCCGGGGTTGAAATCTACTTACTTTCGCTACCGGTTCGCAAATGTGAGCGTGCATATGCAGAGCATCAGAAACTGACATGATGACGTCTGTGCAGGTGGGCGGAGCCTGCTACCGAGCACGCCTGCAAAGGTAAGTAGAACAGCAGGTGTGTGTGGGGGAAGGATGCACTGTGCCACGTGATTTAGATTAGCTCGAAAGCAGGCTTTCCTATATTTAGCTAATATAAATATAAATTCCTATATTTAGCTAATATAAATTGTGTGTCATAGCTGATCGTCGGAAATACCATTTCGCCTGAACTGGTAGTATTTTTTTACTACTTGTTCGGGTGAACCGGTAGCTTTTTTTACTACCGGTTCGGGTGATCTGGTCTGAACCGGTAGCATTTCACCCCTGTTCTGGTCCCGGTGACCAACCTTTATTGGATCCTGCAACATTAAACAGTGGTTAAATGCAGCACTGCAGGCTACTTCAGCTGACTGCAGTTCTGCAGTTCGGCTGTTCAAATCTCACCGGCTCAGGGTTGACTCAGCCTTCCCTCCTTCCGAGGTTGGTAAAATGAGGACCCAGATTGTTGGGGGAAACAGGCTGACTCTGTAAACTGCTTAGAGAGTGCTGT